CCATCGTCCCGTTCACGCAATTGCGCCTCACATGGCGGGCAACTGCGCTGGGTAACTCGGCGGGGATGCCGAGCCCACGCCGCCCCCGCAAAAAAACGCGGCGGCCTACGTCCCCGCCGCCTGCCGGGAGCCCGAGAACATCCAGCGGGGGCGCCACGGAATCGCCCTGGCCGGCGAAACGGCCCGACTCGGTCAGGCGCTGTTCCTCGTCTTGGATGGCCAAGGGTGCTCGGACGGGCGCTCGCCTGGTGGCACTGCACCGACTCGCCACGGAAACTTCTCGCAGCAAGTGAGCGACTTGTTCAACAATGATCTCGCCCCGCTTGGAACCAGTGCAGCGAACGCCCGCCTCCGAAAGCAGCGCGATGTCGGCGATGTCAACAGGGGTCAAGTTCCGCCGGGGTTCCCAATACAGCCGAAGAAGAGAGCCGAACCTTTCGCACGGGGCTTCCAGCGGGAACATCATGGAGCACCGGTGCGCCAATCGCGCGGCGTGCCAAGCGACGTAACAGCGCTCGGTTCCATGGCCAATGCTGAACCAAGGAAACCGCACGATCGACGATGTCACCATTTCAATCCCACCAGCCCTTAGGGCGTGACTGGCTCCGAACGTTTCCTCTCCCACCTCCCCCTCTTCCCCCTTGGGGGGCGAGAGGGGGGCACCCCCTCCCCTGGCCCTGGGCGGGGCGTTTCGCGGGTCGCTGGGGCGTCCAATAATAAACCGAAAATGGCCTCAAGGCCCTCGGGCTGCCCAAGATGCCCTCCCAGATTGCGCAACAGGGCCAAAGGATAGCCCACGATGGCCCACAATATGGCCCCCTGGATGCCCCCAAGAGGCCCGCAGGCCGCTCCAAGACGCACCCCAAGACGCACCCCCCTCATTTGGGACCAAAGGTCCGAGAGGGGCATCCAAGAGGGCTACGAGACCCACCCAGAAAAACCCAAGACTGAAAGGATTGATGGCCCAGGATCGATGGTCACCAAGTTTCGGGGGCTCCCAAGACGACGATCCGGGTTCCAAGTCACCGTGCTGGACGAACCCCAGGACAGGCCCAAGAGTCGCACAATGACACAAACCCGAAGGCCCCCCTTCCAGTCCCCCCCCCTTCCTCATCATCCTCCTCGCGCCGGCCCGCCCCCCCCCTCCCCCCCCCCTCCTTCTCGCCCCCCGCCCCATCGCCACCGCGCCCCCCCCCCCCTCCCCAAACATTGCTCTTGTAGGCGCGCAGGAAGTTAGGAAACTAATTTGCGGGTGCACTTCTTCTGGCTGATAGTCGGCGTTCCCCGCATTCCTCAGGAGGGGATGGGCTCCTCGGGACGGGGAATGGGACGGGTTCCTCGGGACGGAGAGTGGCCCAAGATAAATCAAAGAGGGGCTCCAGGGGACCCACATGGAGCCGCCGCGGTATAGGATATTGTCTTCAAGCGACCGTCGCACTGCATGCTTCGAGCTCGGCTATACTTCCACGTCTTGGGTGGGCTGGCGGGGAACCGCGAAGCGCCAAACATTTCGATTCGACGCTTAACCGCTACAATCTGGAAGCACGCGCCAGCACAGTCCACACCCATATCGCCCACATGAAAGGGGACCTCCGGCAGTCTCGGCATCTTAGCGCTTCTCCGAGCCCGCGACCCAGGCACCCGCAGATCAGCCGGCTTCTTATGCGAGATGTTGTACCCGAGGAAATAAGAAACGAGAGCGGTGACCTTGGCGACGTCCGTGCGCCTGGGATACTGTGTCTCGATGGCGTCCTGGACGACCGTCCGCGAACCGACTGGCAGCACAACGCACCCTACTATCTGGGACCAACTCTTCGCATCCGCAATAACGTGGTCTGGTATGTTTGTCCGTCCTCGGGCGGCGGGGGGTTGGGCAGCCCCGGCGCCCGCTGCTTTGGCCGCGGCCCTTGCTGAACGCACCCGCTCGGCGAGCTTCATGCACTGCCCACCCAACTCGTCGCATCCTGGCCAATCGCGCTTCACTGCGCGAAAGGTAGGGTCCACCGGATAGTAAGTGTGAGTCATGCAAGGTTCCAGAACGCGAGCCACTGCGCGAAAAGCCCGTGCGTGCGAGACCGAAGGGCGATTGAATACCAGAGAAACCCAGTCCCAGCAAGTGCCAGCAGCATCCAACAGCTCACTCATACTCTCGTTCATACCAACCTGGTGCAACAATGCACCCAACTCTGTCGACAGTCCCGTCACAAAGTTCGCCGCCTGTACCAAGGCAGCATCTATATCGTCGTGCTTCGTGTACATGGCATGTGATGCCCTGCATACTGAAGCGTGGTCAGGGGTCCATATCTTGCGGAACATTGCCTTCGTGTCCATTCCTGGCGGCGTTGCGAATACCCTGGGCTTCTTCGAGTAACGCGGCGACGTCGACAGCAAGCCCTCGCAGTAACTTTTGCAGGGCGACCCTGGAACGCATAGGCACGGACGCGCGCCCCGGCACCCCTTCGCCTCGTCGCTGGGGTACGCGACGCACGGGGGAACGCGCACGCCGACGGCGCGGCCATGGGCCGCCCCCCGGGGGCAAGCAACGACTCTGGGCAAAACTGCCCGGGCGCCGCCCGCTTGCCCCATGTCTCGGCCACGCCCTCTGCCCCGGCCCTGCACTGCGCCCTCCCACGCGGCCTGGCGCTGTCGAAGTATGCTATCGCACTGGCAAGTGGGGCCGAGGCACATCTTCTGAACAGGATCGCGCGCCAGCTCCGTCGTCGGCAGTCTCAACCCCACTCCATTGAACGACGGTGCTGGCGACAACAAACCAGACACAGCATTGAACAGAGTCGGAAAAGAGCGACCCAAACTCGAGCACCGATACGCCAAGACAAAATACACAAATCGGCTGGTGGAACATGCTGTCCAAACAAAGCCACGACGCGGAACAGGCCGCGTAAAACATATAGCTGGTGCCGCACTCCTGTAAGGCACGCCTGCACTCGCACCCCCAGCCGCTTCAAAACTGCCGGCTCGAGCACCCCTTGCACTTGCAAAGTAAGCGGCCTCAAGCCACCCCGCGGGACGTCGGCAAATATGCATGCGAACACCACGAAGGACACGTCGGCCAAGGTCCGACTGACATCTGCCAAATGCTGAAGTGGCTGATGCCGGTGGCCTTCTTGCACCCACGCGACTCTGGCATGCAGGGCGCCCATAATGACCTGGAGCAAGTTGGACATTCCGGGACCTGTTCTTCTTGCAAGGCGAATCGCTCTGCCACCACCCGAGGTCGAAAGCGCCTGCGGCGGGTTCGCGTCGAGCCGACCCCGACATTGGTTTATGGTACCGCGGGGATCGTTGAACCTTGAGTGCTTCCGAAACGACGGATCGTCCAACGTGGGGCGACTCTGGGCCACCGGCAGTGTTCAACCTGGAACGCGCGCGTCGGGGTCGCCCGCGGTCGACGCGACACAAACCTACCGCGAGCCCGCGGGGCCGGGGCCCCGCGCCAGCAATCTCCATGGTCGATGAAATCCCATGCGTGGGGGCAGGCGGGCCACACGAGCGGGCCACGGGACGGGAGGCTCACGGGCGGGTCTGACGGGCGGGTCTGCTAGGGCGTGGCCGAACACATTCGCGACGCCCCTCTCGCCTGCGACTTTTTTTCGTCTCCCCCGCGGGACCTTGCAATTCTCTAGCAGCGCGCCAGAGGTGCCGGACAAATGTCCGATCTTTCTGGCCCCACCCGGAGCCCTCAGCGCCCTTGCTTCGTTCCCACCCAGAAGCGCCCCTACACCCCTGAAGAACAAGGTCCCCTCGCCCTGCCCGAGTAAGTGATCCAATTCCTTACTGACGTCGAAGACGCGGACGGCCAGTGGAACCGACCGGATGGCGCGCCAGGCCGCAGCATCGACGCGGTGAAACGGGTCCCAGACAGCACAGAGGGGCGCGGCTCGCCGAGGTGGTGGGCCGCTGCCCTGGTCGGGGGCGCGTCGAAGTGACGTTTGGCAAGAGTGACCACTGGAGCGCGCAATTCCTCAGATAATCGATTCCCCAATTCTTTCCTGGGCCCGCACTGACGTGTTTTTCGAACTGCGCCCGGTCGCGACGACGAGGGGCCCCCCCGAGGGCCAAACAATCGCGCGCGCACCAAGGGTCACTCCGGCGAAGGGCCCGCGCACGCCTCGGCGACCTGGGCGCCCCCAGGAGCTGGGCCGCCGGCGGCGGGGCTCCCCGAGGCGGCCTCGCTGGCAGTCGGATGCAGGGCGGTCCAGAACTTCTCCGCGGCTGCGGTCGATGCATAGCGATGGTCTGGCCCCCCTCTGCATAATGCGCCGTCTCCGCAAACTGCGGCGCACCGGGCCCGTAGCACCTCAGCCGGCGCGCGGCGCACAGGATTCACGATGCCCCTCAGGGGAATTGATATCGGAATCATGGGGCGCCGCGGTGCGCGTGTCTTGTGTGTTGTGTGTTGTGTGTGTGTTGTGTGTTGTGTGTGCGTGTGTTGTGTGTGCGTGTGTTGTGTGTGTGATTGTTTGTTGTTGTGTTGTGTGTGTGATGTGTTGTGTGTGCGTTGTGTGTGTTGTGCGTGTGTGTATTGTTTATGTGTGTTGGGTTGTGTTGGGTGGTGTTGGGTATTGTGTTGGGTATTGTGTTGTGTTGTGTGTTGTGTGTTGTGTGTTGTGTGTTGCGTGTTGCGTTGTGTTGTATTGTGTTGTATTGTGCTGTGTTGTGTTGTGTGGAGTGGTGTGTGTCGTGCGTGCCTCCGACGGGACTGTAGGGCGAGCGCGTGCGCGTCGGATCTGTGGGACAATCATCGGGGCAATTCTTGGGATGTCTGTCGGGCAGGCATCCAAACCAACACCGGGTGAACTCTCGGAACGCCCCCGAACGACCCCCCCATCATCGGAAGCAACCAGGGCCGAAGAGGCGGCCTGTCGAGCTCCAGGCGAGGGGGACTGCACGAAAAAACCCGCCTCTTAAAGCGATGGCATCGAGGTGGCCAAACGATTACGATGACGATCGGTTCGGTTGCTAAGCCCTGCGCGCGGGACCCCCACTGCGCCGGATGCTGCGCCATGCTCCGTTCCAGGAGTGCCGCCATAGCATCGCCGCCGCGGGCGCCAATGGGCATCGCAGGCGCGCTGCGCATCGGAGCATAGAGGCGGCACGTCCACCTCGAGGCGAGGCACAAACAGATGACGCACAAGGTGTCGTGGCGCGACCGCGGGCCGACGCCGAGGGACACGGGGTCCGCCAGGATGCTGAAATCACTTGGTACACCAAGCCCGGGTAAATCTCCGTTGAAATCATCGGCGTCCATATGACTCAGCGATAAACTCGCGAATGCAATGACAGCCTTGCAGAATTCCCGGTTTGTCGCCCCCGTGGACACGTTGGCACTGGCCAGGTGATGTCCCCACAAAACGCCAGGCAGCTCATTGAACGACCCCCCCCCCTGCGCGTGCGCCAATACAACCCGGACGGTGTTCAAGAGGCACACGTGGGCGTTGCCCTGCGGGGGCGCCCCGGCCAGCTCGCTCACTCCATCCTGCGTGGGCGGTTCGGTCGGCTCGCTCTGGGGCCGCCAATCATTACCACGCAAACGGTAGTAGATCGCCCTGACGGCCCCGGCCGGCATCGCCAATAGACGCCCCCGCCACCCGAGCGGAACACTCGGTCTGTCGCGCGCCCCCCAGCCCAGGTGCGGGCGGCAAGGCGCGTTCCCAGGATTGCAACAGCTTCTTTGGGAGGCCTCGCAGAATATGGAACACGTTGGCCACCAAGACTGCAGCCTGCGGCCCAATCGCCACGCCCCGCTTGATGTAACGCCCAGCGCTGCCACCGGGAATCCACGCGCCAGGGTCGACGTGCCTGCTCGGGTCGCTGCCGGCGGGCAATAGCGAGGAGGCGCCATCCGACGCCCCTACGACAGCCCCGTCGGTCGCAAGCGCGGGCAGGAGCGACGCCTCCTCTGGGTCTGGGTGTTCCTCCGGCTCGGAGCTGGCGAGGCTCATCGCAGACGTCGATCTCGAATAAATCAGCGGTGGGGAACCTGCAGCAGATGACATGGCCGCAGCCCCACTGTAGCCCTGTGGGTCGCCCTGGCGCGACCCCGCCGCTGCTTCGAGCTCGGCGGATGGCGACCGCGGCCCCGGAGCCCAGGCGGACCTCGAGCAAAAACTTCTGTCGTCGTCGTCGTCGCCGCCACCGCCGTCGTCGCCTTGCGGCGCCTTTCCGATCAAAGCACGGCCGGCCCAACCCCATTGTCGGGGGGGCGCAAGAGTGTCCTTCGGCAAGAGTGATCTTTGGTGCGCACAAATCCGCCGAGGATCGATCCCCGGGCCCCCCGGGGCCCACGCTAACACGTTTTTCGGGCTGCGCCAAGGCGCGACGACGACGGGGCCCCCGAGGGCGAAAAAGCCGCGCACCAAAGATCGCTCCGGCGACAGGTCGCTCTTACGCCTCGGCGACATTGGCTGCATCGGCTTGACCCCGCAGGGCCGGCCCGCGGCGCCTTCGGGCGCGGGGCGAAAGGGAGGGGGCGCGGCATTCCGGGCGGGGGCCGCGGCTAGGAATTGAGGACGCGGCGTCCGCCATTAGGGAAGCCCCGCCCCCGCATTCCTGGGGGCCTTATCCGCCGACCCCAGAAGCGTGTGAGGGATCTTTCGTGTACCCGACAAAACCGTCGCGCAAATGGCACAAGTTGCACGTTTACAAGCCTGCTTTTAATTTTCTGGCGCCAAACTTGCCTGACACTTCCACCGTGCAATGACCTCCGCGCACACAATGTTGCCTGGCACTTCCACCGCACAATAACCTCCACGTACACTACACACTTCACCCACCCCGACACTCCCACCCTGCATTCCACCCTGCACTTAGTTCAGCGTGAACTGCTGAACTCCGGGGTTCGGAACCCCGAGGCCCCGCTGCCGCCGTCGTCGTCGTCGTCGTCCGCGGCGGCGCGGCCCGGGGGTCCCGAACCCCGAAGTTCAGCTGTTCACGCTGAACTGCTGAACTTCGGGGTTCGGAACCCCCTCGCCCCGCCGCCGATGTGGCTCTGGCTGTCCCCAAATAGCTCCAGATCCCCACGGAACCGAGCGAACTGGATTCCAGTTCGCCCTGAAATGGCTCCATATCCCCCCGAAATCGGCTCCATATCCCCCCGAGATCGGGCGAACTGGATTCCAGTTCGCCTCAAAATGACACACGATCCCCATTCCAGTTCGCACCGAAAGGGCCCCAGATCCCTCCGAGATCGGGCGAACTGGATTCCAGTTCGCCCCGAGGTGGCTCCATGCCCCTCCGAGATCGGGCGAACTGGTTTCCAGGTCGCCTCAAAATAGCTCCATATCCACCCGAGATCCGCTCCATATACCCCCGATATCGAGCGAACTGGATTCCAGTTCGCCTCAAAATGGCCTCCGATCCCCCCGAGATCGGGCGAACCGGATTCCAATTCCCACCGAAAGGGCCCCAAATCCCTCCGAGACCGGGCGAACTAGATTCCGGTTCGCCCCGAAGTGGCCCCATATCCCCCCGAGATCGGACGAACTGGAATCCAATTCGCACCAAAATTGCCTAGGACCCCCCCGAGATCGGGCGAACTGGATTCCAGTTCGCTCCACAATGGCTGCACCCCCCCCCCGAGATCGGGCAAACGGGATCCCAACTCGCCCATCAAAGGCCCTATCCCCTCCCGTGATCGGGCGAACTGGATTCCAATTCGCCCCGGAATGGCGAAGCACCCTCCCAAGATCGGACGAACCGGAATTCAGATCGCACCGAAAGGGCCGCAGATCCCCCCGAGACCGGGCGAACTGGATTCCAGTTCGCCTCAAAATGATTCCAACATGGGTCCATACCCCCGCCGAGATCGGGCGAACTGGATTCCAGCTCGCTCCGCAATGGCCATATATCCCGAAATCGGGCGAACTGGATTCCAGTTCTCCCCGAAATTGCGAAACACCCCCCCCGAGATCGGGCGAACTGGCCGGGTGAACTTTATTCCAGTTCGCTCCGCCATGGCTGCATACCCCCCCGAGATCGGGCGAAATGGATTCCAGTTCGCTTTGCAATGGCTCTACCCCTTGCCAAGATCGGGAATGGCAAAGCCCCCCCCAAGACCGGGCGAATTGGAGTCCAGTTCGCACCGAAAGAGCCCCAGATCCCTGCGAGGTCGGGCGAACTGGATTCCAGTTCGCCTCAACATGGTTCCAACATGAGCCCATGCCCCCTCGAGACCAGGCGAACTGGATTCCAGTTCGCTCCGCAATGGCTCTATATCCCGAGATCGGGCGAAGTGGATTCCAGTTCGCCCCGAAATGGCGAAACACCTCCCCAAGATCGGGCGAACTGATCGGGCGAACTGGATTCCAGTTCGCGCCAAAATGGCCCCAGATTCCAATTCGCCCTGCAACAAAATTGCCGGAGATCGGGCGGAATTCAGTTCGCACCGAAATGGCCCCAGACTCCCCCGAGATCGGGCGAACTGGATTACATTTCGTCGGTTTTGTTAACGCCCACCCATAGCATTTCGGGCCGCCAAGGATGCGCCGCAAGGATGCTGACGTCAGGACGCGGGCCGCTTCCACCAACTGCAACTGTGTCAGACTGAGAGACTGGGAACAAACAGACTGTGAACCATCTGCAACTGCGTCAGACTGAGAAGGGGTCGCTGCCGCAACCTGCGCCAAACTGAGAAACGGGGAACAAACAGCTGAACGGGGAAAAAACGCGAGCGGCTTTCTTCTCAGTGCCAAGGGCTCGTCGCTGTCACCAACTGCGCGACGCTGAGAGACTGTGAGCAAGAGCTCCCCCGCCAAACGACCCGCGGCCATCTTCACGCCCCCAGCCTGGACTCCTATAAGACGGCCCAAGGAGGTCCCAGACGGCCCAAGGAATCCCAGACGACCCTAGAGGTCCCAGACGACCCTAGAGACGCCCAAGTAGCTCCAAGGCCCGAGGAGAGCGAAATTGCGCGGACGACTGTTCCAACGGCGGGGTGGCTCGGAGGCTCGCGGAGCCCGTGGGCGCGGGAGGGCACTCGCCGCATCGCACGTCCTCGGGGCCAGAACCGGGAGGCGGTCAGAATCCAGCCACACCCCCGGTTCCGAGATTCAGGACTGCTGCGCCATCGGACCTGTTATCACGTCGCGCAGCGGCGGGGCGACCACTTTTTGGGAAAATGGTCGCCGGGCGCAGTTTGTCCCAGAAAGTGGTCGCGTCGTGTCGTCTCGTACCACGAATTGAGGAGGAAACTAATTACTTATCACATTTGGTATGTACATACAAGGCCTATTGAAAAATGCATTGGTGATCATGTCACCGCTTGGTGAGGTGATGAACGCCTCAGGTGCCAGACAGAAATTGCTGCAGTATCTGTGGCATCATTTCACATCAGAGCCCCACGGGCAAGGTAGCATGCGACCATGTTGCTCATTACTATCATGCCTCTCATTCCTCTTCGTCCCCCGCGCTTCCCATCAGCATCCTCTCCGTCTCCTCTTCGCCGCCTCCTCCTCCTCCTCATCCACCTCCTCTTCCTCCTCATGCCCCTCCTGCCCCCCCTCTCCATCCTTCCCCAAGGGTCTTCGATCATGCCCCTTGGGGGGATGTGTTCACTGCCTGACACGTGCAGCTGGCTCAGCCCCAGGAGCAGGGGAAAGGAGGAGGGAAAGGACGAGAGGGAGAGAGAAGGATGGAGCCCGACAGAGATGCTGTGGGCGCCACGACGATGGACATCCCAACAGTCCTATCATTGAGTTTAACATGTCTTTGAAATGTCGGGAAGTGTTCTAAACATGTTTTAAGCGCGTCTTACATGTGGAAAACATGTTTAAAACACATGTTCTAGACATCTGGAAATTACTTGGCAACATGCTTCCTCTCAATTGATCGTCCTCGGCAACAGAGATGGGCAGGAGAGGGGGGCCCGTGGCAGAAGAACAAGCGGCAGAACAGGACTAGCGAGTCGGGCTGGCGGACCCTTACGCCCTGGCGGGCGGATCGAGCGAGCGGGCCCAGGCCGCGGGGCGGAGCGAGCAGGTCGCTGAAGCGTCAGTCCTGCATGGATCGCGAGGAAGGCTCGAGCGACAGCGCGATTCCCAAGCAGTCGTAGCGAATTCCACAGCAAGAAAATGATTCCAGAGTGCTTGGGGCAAGGCGTTCCAAGAAATCTCGAGGGAGTACCACGCGAGAGCGCAATTCCTGGATACACTGTGAGGACGTACCGCGCTAGAGTACGATTGCGAATACACTGTGAGGAAAGACCAAGCAGGAGCCGCTGCTGTTGTAAACTGGGGGCCAGGGCCACAGCAATTTGAGCCTCACGACTTCCGTGAGAAAACAAGGTGCGACGGGAGGCACTTCAACTGAAAAAGCAAAACGAGCACCAGGGAGGGGAATGAACAGAAACTGCGTTTTCTGAAATGATATCACTGCAGCAACAGCAGCAACAGCAACAGCAACAGCAACAACAACAACAACAACAATGTTAAGACTGTTCGCCCTTCTATATGCTCGAGTGTCCAATAACGCGTATTTCCC